CACCTGAGACTTTGTGGAGTGTTTCCCGCGCTGAAGGTAGTGCTTCTGGGATTGGCCATGCCCGGGCCTCACGGTCTTGGGCATGTCCGGGTGCTTCTGGAACGTGTTTCTATCTACTGCCCATTAACAATTCTCCACCCTGCTCGTCATTGTGCTTTACACACACTGCAGATTGGAAAGCAGTGGGCAATGTCTTCGGCTGAACCTTAAGTTTACTTGACTGTGGTTGGTGATTCATCCTCCTGGTTTTACGTCGCTTCGGAAGGCCAAATCGAACTGTAGTTTGGGATGCCATGAACATCGCCACTGGGAAGCTTTTGTATTGGCACTGTGAAATCTAGCGCTATGGATCTACACTTCCCGCCCAAACGCCACAGACTATTTCGCACAGGCTCTTTCTGTGTTTCAACTTTTCTCTGGAATAGTGTATCAAGTTTCAGTACTGTAATCTATGTTCAGGCCATCACTTGTAGGTTGGAGGCCACCGCTTGTAGATTGGAGGCCCTCGCTACTAGGGTGGAGGCCATCACTATTATATAGTAACTCAGAAGTGAATATTTTGTTTTATTTTTTTAAATGAGTAGACCGAACCTTGGCACTGTTTGCCTCGGGAGCGTTTTGCTCGGGATGGCCCAGGCCGGCTGCGCTGGCCATGCTCGGCCTCGGCACGGGTGCAGTGCACTGCCCGGCTGGGACCTGAAGGCAGAGAGAAGCGGTGTTGGACCCAACCCACCTGCCACCAAAGGGAAATTCACTTTTTGCCAAGAAGAAGGCTTAATACCAAAGAAGAGATAAAGAGGGCATTGCTGCCGAGATGTGTCACCTCAGTGCGTCAGAACCCTCACATTGCCTTTGGTCAATTGCTTGGTTGATCAACCGTCAAAAGGTCAGATTGATCCCCTGCTACTAGTATGAAAAAGACTCCCTCTCAAACTCCAAGCGGCTTGAAGGCCCTTGCAATGAACAAGCATGCTCACTGGTGCTTTCTAAAGGTATCTAAAGTCATTTCCGGGATTTTGATTCAAGAGGAGTTCACCCTTGCAAGTTGGATTTCCTAGACATGCAAGAGTCATTGTCTTTGTTTGCAAAGCAGTGCGATCCTGTTAACAGACACTAAAGATCCGGCCTGGTAGACTTCTAAAGTGAGCGACCCCGTCCTTCACCCCAAATTGACCCAACCAAGTCTCAAAGAAGACTCTTAAGATGTTCTAGTGAAGCAGGTTTAACCTTTGTTGTCAATGAACAAGTTCAGGCATGACAAGATGTTCAAAGTGTCGCCAAGGTTAGGAGCCGAAGACCTTCAGAGGACGGGCTTGAACCACGACATACAACCACATAGATCTGTCGAAGTTTAGAGATTCTTCAGACTCAACTGCATGCAGCGCCATGCAGGACTCCATTGGGGTCCAAAGTTACATTGAGCTCGATGGCGGCGACGAGGTGGGAAGAAGCACTGCTGGAAAGGCTTACAGTAAGACCAAGTTAAATAAGCAGAGGGGTGGGCAGAAGGAGGTGGTAGTCACCAATCGTTACTTGTGCGTCATATTCCGTGATGTGAATGTGGGAGAGATGCTTTTAAGCTAGTTCACACAAGCAGTCTGACATGTCCAACGTGTTTTGCTCCTACTTTATAGCCAAAACGGTGTTGGTGGTTTATGTAAATTGGTATTAACTGAATCACCTCGTCCAGGTGTGAGACCCGAGCTCGAGACTGCAAGGCAGAGCGAGGAGACAGCAGTTGAGAGCCACTACTTTGGCGGCAGTTTTTCTATGGTATTTCTAGCAGTTAGAAAAACAAAACTGTGGCTGCAGTTAGAAACTAGTAAAAACTGTCGGCTGCAGTTTTTGTAGCCCAAATTTTGATAGCATATATATCATTTCTCGACCCTGGGATCCTGCTTAGTAGAACCACAGGTATGAAGCTGTCAACAAATGTGAGGGTCATTTAAAAAGGGAGCTTATGTTAATGAACTGGTGCAATGGCAGCACCGGAGGCCTTCAATGAATCTGTCGACCTGTTTCTCAGGCGAATTTGCCACTCTGAGAGTGGATCTGCGACTGGTGAAGTCTCTCTTGACTTGAGAAGTGTTTGGAGGTCGCTCCTTAAGATTTAAATTTGGTAGTACATTTCGACAAGCATCTCACCAGAAAGAACTCACATGGTTGAACAGTCTGATTGAGCTTTCTGGCCAAGATTTTGGCCAGCACTTGCTCAACGGTCTTTTAAAGCGCACAAGGAAATCAGAAACGCCACCTTGTCAACATCTGGGTGGCTGCTGATCGAATCTGGGTAGATGTCTTCACTTCAGTTTGCATGTGAAGAAGGGAATGCCTGTTTGCATGGACGCGCTTTATTGAATATCCTGGCATTTGGCAGTGAAAGTGCGACTTCACCAGCGTGTCCCTTCGCGATCTTCCGCGTTTTCGGGTCGGGTGCGATCACACGCGACTGGCGGTTGGAGGCCGCATTGAAGCCTCAGACCTCCTCGTGCGCCAGCACGCTCTGCGCATGTGTTGCTGGGGACAGCCACTGGAATTTTCAAGTGGACAGTTATAAGATGTTCAAGGTGGGAAGATCTAGCATTTGGCTTGGAGGTCAAGACTGCGTAGATCAATGCCTACACTATAGACATCTAGGGGATGGTGCAGCGAGTGATATTTGTTTGTTTTTTTTGTAACTAATAAACATGCATCCACCGCGACCCAGAGTCGAAGGGACCATGACCAGCATTTGTCTCCGTTTTGGAAGAAATTCGTTTTCAGAGTGAAGTGCCTCGAGGTTCTTGGGACAGGTCATCGGACACTCTTCTGTATTTTGTGACCGCACACGTTTCGGTTTTTGACTTGAGAACAACCTAAAAGAACGCTGGCTTGCTGTGACTGTCCCTTGTCAACATTTTCCACAGGGTTCGGCTTGTGAATCACGATCCTGTTGGCCTGCAGAGATTTGACCGGCCCACTTGGGGCCTGGATAGGACAAGAGACATGCGTTGATGCTTCTCGATGTTCTAGTGAGGGTGACCGGACATCGTCAAAGAAGAAAGGCTGCAAAGAGCAGGTACATCTCATCTCAACACTGACAGTTGGCCTAGGTTCTTGCAGTTTTGCAAAATAGAGCCAGAATTCTGCACTAGAACCTACAAGGCACGAATTGTAGGATGTGCTAGTATTCCGGGCACACTTCCCTTTCGAGCTTCTCAACGAGGGGTTGTCGCCCCATTCATCTGATTTCCTACTTCCAAAGCCCATTGACAATACTTCATCGAATCCTGGCCTGGAGTGAGTGGTGTGTGCGTGTCACTGTCAGTGTAGGCCACAGAAAGGGTAGGATTCCCTACATGCCCGCATCCCTCATGAAGGAGGCACATATGCAAGAATTGCTCTGCGAGGCATAGCTCAAGCACGACATTCCAATGTGCAGTGCCCCGACATTCCAATGTGCAGTGCCCTAAAGTATCCTAAAAGTAGGTTAGTTAGAGTAGCTGAGTAGTTAGTTGCGCTGGCCAAACGAACTAGTTCATGACTTATCGCTCCTCAGAATGACCAAAAGTTTAGGGCACTGCCTCAGGTTTTGGTGACAAAGAGCTTACTGTATCCCTTTTGCTTTTGAACTATAATTATGTCATTCTCGGTCGTGTGGCTTTCCACCTCTCATGGATCTGAAGCTTTTTCTTCCTTTTCGTTGTCAGGCTTCGTAGGAGCAAGCTTCAGGGACAACAAGTTATATACGTTTGTTCTGTTTTTATCTTTTTTGTGTGTTGTGGGGAATTCTTGTGTTGTGAGTGCCTACAACCGGCAAAGTCTATTTCACAACAGCTGCAAGAACTGATGAATCGGTGTTCTGATTTTCCCAACATCATTCAAGCTTGTAACTCTGTGCTCTTTTCTCGCACAGAACAGGCTTGATTTTCGAAAGAGTCCTTGTTGTTTTTCAATGTGTGTCAGCTTAATATAGATCTCAGCTCCAGCTAGCTCTCCATATGCAGATGCACTTACCCGTAGAGAACCCTAAGAAGTAACAAGAAGCCAGCAGAAACAAGTGCATCGCTACTAGTAACAAGTGCCTTACTAGTAGTAACAAGAAGCTATTAGAAACAAGAACCCTAAGAAGATGCCCCAGATGGCCATGGACCCAACACGTTGGACCCACGACCCCACGACCGATCGGGAGAGATCTCCGCCGTCGGTGTTTACGGACGAACTCTTCAAGCCCCAGCCGAACAGCGTTTCGAACTTGGAAGATCTGAAAGCATTCACATATTGCCAGAGAGACTTATTTATGTGAAAGCAGCATGTCATAGCATTTCGTTGCTGGAGACCAAGGTAGCTCTTTTGTAGTTTCCCTGCAACAAGTAATTGGAAGCTATTTTCAATGGCAAGCTTCCAGGGTTAGAAGCAGACGTTTAAGTCTCAAACCTTTACATTGTTGTATGGTTCAGAGGGCAAGTTGAGCAGAGGTACTGGAAACACATGACCGATGGTAGGCCCGATTGAGATTTGGACCTGACCTCTCTTGACCATGCGCCGGTTCACTGTGGCGGCAAGCGTGTTGCAAAGGCCAGAAACGAAAAACAGTCTTTTGCAAGCCACAGTGGATCGTCCAAAATTGGCGCTGGTGCAAAAAGGTTGCGAATCGAATCCACACAATTCAACTTAGTTGGCTTCAGAGTTAAAACATCGGCTGGACTTGGAACAATTCCTTTTTATGCATGACCCATGTTCTTGTCTTGCCGTGTGGCTGCAAACTGAGCTTCAGCAGCTGTCGGGCTACCAACATTGTTTCAACTGAAGACATCACGGACCATGCAAAGGGTGTCCGGTGTCCCAGGTATGTATAGAACATGCAATGAGGACAGATCATCACACTCACAATTCCGATGACTTTCATGACCTTGGGTCTTTGAGTTATTCGACATGGGAAGACGACTCTGCACCCCTTCTAAGGGGGAACATAGCAAGGTCCGAAATCGAAGGGAGATCCAGTTTCAAGACCTAGACAACTCTTTTGACCCTGCTTGGTGAGTGAAGCTGACAACCCCGATGTCGTCCGTGTGGATTGCCTGGTCACCAAGATGCTGAGCTTCTTTGAAGTTATGAAGCGGTTTGCATTTTGACTCAAACGTGCGACTAGACTTTAACTTGAGCCTGTGCTGCTTGCTGTAGGTCTGACTCATGCTGTTGGATGTATTTGCCGGTACGTGCATGAAATCCAGTGTATGTGCTGTTTATCAAGCCAGAGTGACTGTGACTATGGAAAACTCTGGTTTGCTTCCTGACGAGTGTTCAAAACCCACAGGATATTTCGTTGTGTGTTGAATATAAGCATCAGTATGTTCCGGCCTGATTTGGGAGCAGACTACTTGCGGCATCAACAAACATGAACATGAGTGTGGTCAGTGGGTGTCCCTGACGTGCTGCACGTTCATTTGAGGCGGGGCTGCCTGCAGTGGCGGCATATCAAATGCACGTCACTGGAGAGGTGCTCCAGTCGTTTGCGGAATGACGGTGATGGAGCAGAGATGTGCAAGAACTCGCCATCAATTTTGACACTTGTAATTGTAGCCACATCTATCCATGGGTCTTCTTTGGTTGCATTTTAGTTGAACGAGCTTCAGAATCAATGGGTCCAGCACTGCCACACTGCCATGACTGTGAGACGACCTGCCCGTGCTTGGATGCTGCGGAAGCCTTGGGGGAGCACCTGGCCGGGGGTCCTCAGCTGGCGTCGTGGTGTGTCTCAAAATAGCCAGGGAAGCGCAACCATTTTAAGCTTCTTGCAGGGGCGTTCTTGGTCCAAAACAGCTGCCAGGTGAATACGCAGACCCATGAAAGGCCGCTGCGGCTTTTTGCTCACCCCTCGGATGGTGCAGCATTTTTTGAGAAGTGTGATGCTTGACTCCAAATTTCTTTTTGCTTGCCTCTTTTGAAGGCATGACTGCCTTTTGACACTTCAGGGCCTTCCTACAGGCTCAAGGGCCTATTGGTTGGTACTGATAGTGAGATTTCTCAGGCCTGTCAAACTTCAAGTCCTCGAAATGGCCCAAACATTTCTTTCAACATCGCCGGGTGCACTCAATGGTGACCCACTGCCTTGGTCATGTTGCCAAGGGTGATGACAGGCTGGTCTGGGGCGGCGTGTGCTTGGGGGAGAGACCCAACAAGTTCGGAGAAGTTCGGTATGTTTTTGTCATACATTGTTCACGGTTTTTTTTTCTCAACATAAGTTCCGTGTTCGCACCATGACACTGATGAGTATTGTGCCTGTACAGGCCGTTCACTGTTTTGGGCTTTGGCTAGTCTGGGCATAGCATGCAAATGCTCCTCCTTTGGCCTCGAGGCCTAGAGGCTTAGAGCCATTGGAGGACTTCAAGACAATGAATGAGTCGTTTGGGTCTCATGGCTCGCTTCCTGGCGATGGCCTCGCAGGTTCAACCGAGGGTCCAAGGTTGACTGCCTCATGGTGCGGAAACTCAGAAGAAGAACTAGGAGTCTGGCGGAAGGGCCGGAATATATACCTTGACGACCACCAGCACTAGCATGGCGGTTGGCCGAGATAAACGTGCAAAGCGAAGCCACTCTGAAAAGTCAGTGCCTGAAGCGGTGCACGAAGGAAAGCCATTTTGTTGCCAGGACAACACTTGAAAAGAGTAGACCTTTGACCTTTGAAGGAGTTTTGAAAGATCCTGCGAAACAGGAAGAACGCACCCCATGCAACAGATACCTCAAGGACTGCGGGCCAGAGCTCTGAGAATACGTAGTAAAGCCGGCCGGATATTTGCACCGACCTTTTCGACCAGCAAGCAAGTACTTGTACTTTCAATAACCTTGTTTGAAGGGCCATGGGCTAATCATGAAGAGGTTAAGATTGTCCTTGCGCCTCTTTGTCACGGCTCCAAGGTCTCGCATGTGGATCCATTGTTGCATCCTGGAGGGAACTACTGCTACCCGACGGACCACAGCTCACCTGATTTGAGAGTTGGCAGCAGACCAGGATGCAGCAGAGCAGGATAACCCCACAGGCATTCAATTTCTACTGGAGCAAGCCCCCTACTCAAATATGAAGTGGACTTAAGGGCAGCTGGACTCAGCTGCAAAACGTGGGCGCGACTGAGGGGATCAAGGTGTGCAAGATCATAAACACTACTTGCAACACCATCGAGAGTGTCCGACAGTGTCCTGAGCCGTTTTCTTGCCCTTCAGGACTATGGCCAGCAACGATGCGAGGTCTGGGATCAGAGGCTTGAGGTGGTTTGCGTGCTTGTCTGAGATCAAGACTATTCATTTGCGAGGAACGTCATACTTGCGTAGTATATTGCAAGAAGGGGACTGACAAGCCTTACATGGCCACTGGACACATGTCGTGAATACATATGTATCATATGACTGGTCAAACATGCTTCGTCCAACCAAGCCGATTTGGAGCTTCGACTCCCGAGGCCCAAGGACCTGATGAGCTGCCGGAGCGATGCAAGGCGGACAGCTGGAGGGCGGACAGGACTGGAAAGAGGGGAAGGACAATAGCTTCTTGTTACTACTAGTATGGCACCTGTTACTACTAGCGAGGCACTTGTTTCTACTAGCGTGGCACTTGTTACTACTAGTAAGGCACCTGTTACTACTAGCGAGGCACTTGTTTCTACTAGCGAACCTTCTGTGAGCAGATACCAGGGGAAAGGACGATCTTCTTTGCGAGCGTTGCTTGTCGGTTGAAATCAGATGCCGTGAGGGCCAGAGAAGTTGTGTAAATAGGTATAAACACCATCACAAGGCGCAGGACAATGAATCATAGAGAAGCAGGCTCAAATCTCTGCGAAGCAGACTTAGTTCATTGTGGAATCAAAGCTACCACGCTCGAAGAGATTTTCCCGCCCGCACAGGGAACCAAGAACCAAGGGAGGTGAGACCATGGGAGCTTTAGAAGTCTGCTGTGCGGATCCTCCGCTTTCACCCATTGCAGGGTCTCTTTATGGCCCGGAAGGAGCGCTGAGAGGGTCTGGCACTCCTTGAATTCACCCTTCCAGGGGCATTACTGAGAGCACAGCGAACAGGCACGAGGATGTCTAAGATGCATGATGTCTAAGATGCATGATGTCTAAGATGCACCATTTTTGTTGGCTTACTGGATGCACGCAATGTTTGCCCCTGTTTAACCCTTCTTTCAGCCTTTACCGCCACCTTCGGCTGGTCCTCTGAGGAGAACGCTTGCCACGAGCTTTTTCACCCGAAGGCTGGTGCTCGGCGACAAGACCATGATGAATCGTTTCTTGTATATACCTTTTGTTTCTTTTCTATTCTTTTGTCACCAAAGAACAGTAAGCGTTGTTCAAGAAACAACCTCTGTGCCTTTATCTATGCATGCTTTTTTTCTACATCCGTGTTGTCAACGGTGCATTTTAACACTTTCATGTCAGTAATGCAGTAGGTCATTCATGTCACTTTTTCAACGTGGATGCTTCCTGAGCTTGCCGTGGATCTTGCTGTATGTAATTATGTATATACATACTTGGAATCTTTGGGCACATCCGATTCAGAAATCACCACGTTCTTACTTGAACCTCTTGGCCCCCAAGCAGCAAACATGCGAGCTTAAGATTTTGTACATGGAAGCGGCGCTCTGTCCGATCCAGCTACTAGCTTTCTTCTGCTTCGGTTTGGGGCAAGAAGGTCCAGATGAAAATTATGGGTTGTCCTAAGGAGAGTAATTATGCTTCTTTAGCGGTTTGCCATACTTTGCCTTTGGAAGAGTCTACCTGTATTCTTCTGACGAACAGACCTTCTTGTTGCTGTTGCTATTCTTTTTGCTTTGGGGACTTTTGGTGGTCGTTCGTTGCTTGGCCCACGTTCTCGTTGCTTGTTCGGTTTCTAATATGTTTGCGTGTTGCTTTTTGTTTTGGCCCTTTTTTCCGTAGCCTTTCCCTTGTCACTGTCGTTGTCCTTCTTTGGTTGTCGTTGTTATGGTTACCGTGGTTGTTGTCGTCAGTTGCTGTCATTTGTGGTCATCGTCATCATCACATTGTCCGTTGCAGTTGTGTAGTCCGCATCAATCTCGCGGTGGGAGCTGGGGAAAATCTCTAGGAAGAGCTGTAGGCCATGTGGTGCACACACCAGTACGCTCTAGAGTCTACGTGTGATGTCTTTATGTTTGTCAAGTCAATACCATCGCTACTATTCTTTGCTCTTCTAGAACTGCATTCATGCCAGCACATGCATTCTGCATTTTTTTGTAACCCGTGGACTATCATTTTCAAGGTTTATGTATATATATAGCTTATAGTAAATAGATAGAACATGATAGAACAATATGTATAATGTATACATATGTATATACGCACATACACATACACATACACACATACATACACAAACTGTATATATAGATCGTTGTATACGGTAATAATATGGTACATAACATATACAGAGGCCTTGGCGCTGCCGTGGTGTCATCAGCTGGAACACTTAGTGGGGCTCATTCCAGTGGGGCTCATTCTCAGCCGATTTCAACGGAATGACAACACTAACGGCGATTGGACATCATGCCAAACAGATGGGCATTTGATGCGCACCACAACACATGACACTGGTACTGGTGGAAGCCGAGGTCCTGGTGCTATGTGGATCCAGACAACTGCCACTTGGTGCTTGGATGAAGTGACATTCGTGGAACATCATCATCACACGGGCATTGCTTCACAGGGGTCTCGTGTGAACGCCGAACGCTGTGATGTTGGTTAAGCAGCACCCATTTTTGATAGAGGGCGTCTTCACATTTACCCCCACTGTCAAATTAAGTCAAAGCCAAAGCTTTTTGATAGTTTGCTGCAAATCTCTGAAAACTATATATAGAGCCAACTCCTCTGACAGTGATCCTATCCGTAGAGCAAGTATCAAAGGGACCATGTTTGCAAGTATCAAAGGTCAACCAATTTTGGTCAAATCAGATTGCTGTTGAGACCTCTTTTGAGCAATCGCCTAGGTGACTTGGAAAAGTCCAAGTCCTTCTTCTTTCCTGGCGCCGAGCTCTGGTGCGCCAAGCTCTCGTTGAGGACTTTGCATCAGTGGTGGGATCACAGGGGTAGATGTAATGGCAGCATTTCTACAGTTGGTTCCCAAAACTTGTGACAAGTTCCAAGCCAAATGCTCAGGTAGTTTCTTCATTCGTATGAAGTATGGTTTCACTAAACGGAATCATCCGCATGTTGTCGTGCCAGCCAAACCTAGGAACACAATTGACTCTACACCAGACTCATCTGTGGGCATGTTGTAGTCTAAAGAGGCCACAAGCAAGGGCGACATTTTTGGAAGCTGCTTGGTTTGCATGTACTGTATGTTGTGTGCAGGTACTCGTATGAGACGTGCGCATCAAGGCCAAGGGTCCCAACCAAAGAGTCCCCTCCACCTGATTGAAGTCTTTTGACACGCAGGCAATCGTGCAACCTGCTATAATTCTTGTGGTTGGATGAGTACCAGTGGCTGTAGGACGCCAGTTGCCAGGAACTTCTTTGAAATTTGGAAGCTGGTCCAGCTAGAGTTGGTCACTCAGAGCTCTCCTTTTGTGAATTTGCTGGCAATTCAGCTGTGTGCATGGCCAAACATTTGATTGTCCAGGTGGTACGGCATCCCAAAACATCAAACACTTTTGTGACACATGCAAAGGACATTGTGATATTTACCTTCTCCGGACCTGGCCCGTCCGGGTAATCAACAGAACGCCAGAAGCTCCCGATTTCTTTGCGCGGCCACACGGAGGATGTGTAGCCGCTTTTCCGTGGTAGAGAAGTGGGGGTGCTAAATTCCGCGCAATGGGGCAGAGTTTACAGAGTTCAAAAGTAGATGATAGTAGATGTGGGAATATCAAGTCTCATGTTGAGAGAGTTGAGAGTGAAAGCCACTTGATTCCGTCGTTGAGTCTGGAAAGCTCTTGATGCTTGTTCCTTTGTCACTGGACGAATCATGTGATTGCAGCATTGGAGCATTGCTGATTGGTATGGCCTTGTCCACGGCAAATTTGGTTGAAATCTTTGTCCAGGGTTCAGTGCTGTCATGTTTCGAGCAAGTGGTATTTCTTGGAGCAGACTCTTGCATCACACTGCAACAGTGGTAACAATTGAAAAGTCAATACAGCTAGAATTCGTTGAGACGCACTTTCTGATCTACAACTAAATTGATAATTCGGCACATGTTTTTTTGTGCCTGAAGCAAGCGGCTCATGAAATGGAAGACTCTTGCACAGTCTTCAAGGCCGTACGTGATTATGTGGCTCTCATGTTGGACCTGTGCCTTCTTGCAACAGGCCTGCTGAAGCTTGTTCAGACTTTCATAAAAGCACTACAAAAGTCCAAGAAGTCTTCAAAGCGTATTACAGATGTAGTGCTTCTGTTTCTTTGCAGAAGTTTAAAGCAGTCACTGCACGTTCTTAATGCAACCTATTCGATTTAAACCAAGACCCCCAAACTGAGGAACTAGTGCATGCAGAGGGTGCTTTTGTATACACCACACAGCCATCAACCGGTAGAGCAGTTTTTGCATCCTTGTTTGGTTGAGGGAAGACAATCGTTCAGAAATTGCTCGAATGCTGAAAGAATACTCTAGCCATGTCACAGGTCATCGACACAACTCGAAAGCTGGAGGATCAGCAAGATCGTCTAGGCTGGTCGACTGGGTCGCTGCTGGTCGGGAAGGTGGTGGATATGTATACTGTACTCTTTTCAAGGTCACCATTTTGGAACAATGTCAAGGTTTCCTTCAACTGAAGGTGGAGACAGAAATTTATCTCACACCTGGCAGGGCTTAGCAGCTTATATAATGAAGCCTTTTGGATCAACCCCTCCATTTGCCTCCAGACATAGATGTTGCAGTCAGCCGCTCGCCCACACATCCCTGCGACCGTGTGTTTCTGGAGGCAAGTGGCAACGAGCGTGCGCTGAAGAACTCTCTTGGAGTATGTCCATGATGACTATTGGTTTAGCTTTAGGCCGTTTTGGAATGTTTTGATCTCCTTTTGTGCTCTTGTGTTTTCCAGTGCTCAACTCTCACCAGCTCATCCTTGGATTTGAGACCGGAAAGCGGATGAATTTCTTCAGATCCGCTTGTACTTCTTTTGACGGAGGCTCAGGAACATATGTAATCTTTCATTGGAGAGAGCCTGTTTTCAACATTGAAAAACATGCAAAAAAGTCAACTTAGTAGTCAGTCCCAAAAGTCAAAGTGAAGAAACCGTGAAATCAGAAAGTTTGAGAACGTCAAAAAAGAAGGCAGTTGGCTATTTACTGACTGTATTTATACTTTTTCTTTTAAACTGTTCAAGTTGTTTTATTCTTTTGTTTTTTGCTTTATTTTGTTTTTTTTTTTGACTTTGACTTTTCCATTTGACTTGATTCGATTCTTTTTTTTTCGACTTTTTTAACATCAAGGATTCCGGCCTTACCATATGTTTTTTTGGTTATTTTTTGTATTCTTTTTACTACATATATTGGTGTGTTGTGCTTGAAACAGATTGGTATTCCTCCAGAGTTTTTCTTGAGAACAACGGAATCTGAAGTGCCGGGTGATATGACAACAAATTTAGCCCAAGAGAGAGAGAGAGCTGAACTAGATGAGAGGTTCTGGGTCTTTTGAGGGAACTCCAGTTGCAGGTACTTGGCGCTGCAGCTTCTGGTTCTTGTGACGGAGACCTACGCCAACATGCAGTGGAAGACTCATTCATTTTGCCGCCTGCCTGCTCCGTTTGTTTCCCCTGCCCTTGCTCTGTGCCTCTTGGAGCTTTTCCTACTTGGCAGTTGTCTCAAGTGAGAAAAGGCTTTAAGCAGGAGTCTTCCACCAGCCCTGGAAACCGGAGTCGGCCAAGTAGCATGGTTGGCGTGGACGAGACCGCATTAAGACCGTTGCCCCCCATGTGGACTGCAGGATGTCAGCACCACATTCCTTTGCGATGAAAGATTGGCACTTGTATAACCACAAAGGCCTCAGTTTTTTCTCCAGCTGGAAGGGTCTGGAATGATAACATATATACTGTACATATATATATATGCACGCATTTGGGTTACAGCCTGTGGCGACCAAACATGAAGATGAACTTCCTGCATGTATGGACATATTATACATATACATATATATATATATATATACATATCTTTTTTCCAAGGCGAATCCCGTGGAGCGGCGACTTCTGGAGCAGTTACAACCTCTATGTTTGGGTGGCCAAGCTATTTGGATGGACCAACAGGATTGCTGCCGAATACGGCCTTAACTAGGGTTAGGCACTGCATTCAACTCCGCCGTGCGTCAGGTCTATGTCTTCATCAACTCTGCAGTCTTTGTGCGTGCTACGATGATGTCATCCGCTTAAGCACAAGAGGCAGAAGAGGTCTTGCTCTGAAGTTCACAGGGGCACCCTGTTTGCAATGGGTATGGTTGTTAGTCACTTAGGAGTTCCACCTAGGTGCACAGGAGTCTCAGTACCCGCGGCAAACTGCACTTGTCCTCGTACAGTTCAAGTCAAAGCAACACAGAGAGCGCACTGGTGTAAGCACGTTTAGGCTCTAGACGGTCCTAGACGGTGGACGGGTGGTTTGGTTTTGACTTAGATTTGCAACTTTTCAAGGTCTCAAGTGGTGTGGGACTGGTATGAGGTGTCAGAGCCCCAGACCCAACCTTGCGCTTGAAGTAAGAATGTGTTCATCCTGTATGGAAGATCAAGCTCCACGTACGTTTGGTGGGGGTCATGTCTAGAGGCGTCTCTTGAAGATGCCGGTCTTGCCCTACCAGATGGATGGCAAGGGCTGGACGGACGAGATGAGAGTGCGGGCACAGAGGAAATCAAGTCTTTGGAGTCAAGTTTGTTGGAATCTGTGACAGAACACAGCAGTCTTCAGGCCGGCTTGCTGGTCTGCATTTTCCAATTCTTATCCTCTCTGGGAGTGTGAGCCCCAGTGGTTTGGCTTGGCTTTCAGTCTGAACAGACCGAAGGTTGAGACCAACTCTCGGTGAAAGCGATGATTCAGTGATGATCTGGTGTGTTGTGGTCGTCGACGTGTTCCGAGGTCTTCTTCGTGATCTCAGTGACACACTTGTTACCAGCGCTAATTCTTTATCCCTGGACACTGGGTCACTGCGTGACTGGGTCGATGTTGCAGGGATCCTTTTCTGCTGGCTTACCTGTCCAAGCAAGGCATATCTGAACACACTGCGCTCAAGCAGCGGTTGAGCAAGGGTGTGATTCTCTACCACTAGATGGAGACATATAGACCAGCTTGTAATTCCTTGAACGTGTAGCGGTTTGTCCTATTCTGCAGGATCTTTTGGGCAGTGGCTGCTGGATTGGTGAAGGCTGGTTGCTGTCGCTGTGCCTGCTTACGGCTTTCCCCGGTATTTTCGCTTCTACAGTTCTTCTTTTTGTTCTACATACATCCACCTGAGGCCTCCTGGCTCAAAAATGCAAAGCAGTGCTTTAAACAGAGCTTCACCAAAAGCCAACTGGTTTAAGTTGTATACTCTTTGGGGGACCATTGTGGTCGTCACTGGCCAGTCCCGGGTCTGGATCTCCAGCCTCAACTTTGATCCTGAGAGCCGCTTTGGTGTGGTGCTAAGCCGGCCAACTGATGAGTGCTGAGGTGTCATTGGTTCTGATGGCCTCATCAGCCCGGGGGGTGAGTTGTTGGACAAGTACTAACAAGCACCTTTTTGGCTTGGCGGGATTTAGGACTATTTGTGGGTGGTTGCTGTTCCAGTCGACGAGTGTTTACAGGTCATAGAGAGTCAGGTGGCCAATGGAGGGTTTTCAGACACTCCTCACAGACCTGCGTGACAAAGAGACATTCTTCAGACACTATTCAAGCGGCTCAGCCACTCCTTTTGGCAAATGAACCTCTTACAGAGTGCTTTGCTGTATGTACATGTCAATGAGCCTTTAGTGAAATGCTGAAAGATAGAGGCCATGTGTCCTGCCACCATTTTTGTTCGTGTTCTCATTATATTGGCCAATCAGCTAGTCGCTGTACGTCGTCAGTTGTCCGCAAGCACTCGATGGAAAAGAAGAGCATTCTCCCGGCGAGGTCCAAGAAAAGCTGCGACAGGTACAATCTCACTCTATTTTTTGTTGCAAAAAAGCATTCCAAAAATCATCTGAGGATTGGACAGAATCTATGGTTTGGGTTGGGCCCCGCGTGGTTGGTTCAGGATGGAAAGAGGAAGGGGGACGTCCCTCAGGATGTGTTACTTTGACACCTTCAAGACTCCTATCATATTATGAAGTGTGTCACTGACGTTGCTGTTGCACATCCAAAGGAGCTTCTCTGGCCACCTTCCATTGAGGTCGTGCGTTGGTCGTGGGCACCAACTCTTTCCTCTCCGTTATGGGTATCCAGGTGCGTTTGCTTTCAGAGACAAACACCATTGAGCTATCTAAGGTCTTTGGCTCTTTTGCTTTTTGGCTTAAGAAGTAGACACAGATACCTAGGCTGTTTGACAGAGTCCTTCAGTCCACCTCGTCTCCAAAGACCAGAAACCTGAGGTGATTGACCCATGACGTCTCTTGAGACTGTACATGAAAGAGCGATCACACAGAAAAGTTGTCATGCCCTTTCTCAGTGGAACACAGGAAGCAAGCAGACAGATAAACAGAAAGGACAGATACACAAAGCCCCCAAAAACATCCTGAACAAGAAATATCACTGACGCGCTCTTCTCAACTCCTATACAAAGTTGTTTTTCCCACAGATAGGCAGGCTATAGGGGTTCTACAGTAACTTCTCAGTGGTGTGGCTCTGGATTGGCGTTTTGGTTTTGCGGGTGCTGCTGCCGTGCTGATGCTGGCGCAGGTGCAGGTGCTGGCTCTGGATCGGCATTTTGGTTTGCAGGTGCTGCTGCCGTGCTGGTGGTGGCTCTGGATCGGCGTTTCGTTTCGCGGGTGCTGCTGCCGTGCTGCAGTGCTGGTGCTGGTGCTGGTCCAAGCATGACATCTTGTCATGCCCAGAATGACATCATGTCATGCCAGTGATGAAATCATGCCATGCAAGGCCAGGGATGATATCATGTCATGCCCAGGGATGACAGAACTCCCGCCTTTGTAGGGATATTGGTTGACCGCCCCCGAGCCGTACGCGTACTGAAGGCCCATCCCTGCCCCTATCCGTACGCCTAGGGTAGGCCTATTTGCGTATCCGTACGCCTATCCGTTCTCCTATCCGTATGCCTGCCCGACCAGGCCCGCAAACAGCATTTGTCTATCAAACAAGTCGCCGTTGAGGATTTGGATCTCGAGCTGGGCGCTCGAAGAGCATCCCTGTTCAGCGGGGCTTCGTAGATGACGTTGCCTTGACATTTTTAACCGGCCCTCGCAGATCGTTTTGCTGTATACTGTATACCGGGTGCCCGTTGACGTCTTTGCCTTGTCGTCGCGTGCTCGTCGACGATTTTGCATTCGAAAACGTTTCGCGGAGCAAGTTCACCCGCGGAAAGGTTGGATGCCAGGCAAGCGGTTTGGCTGCGCAAAAGTTTGCGCGCTTGGGCAGGTGTTCAACCTCACAGGATGCGGGCAAAGGCTTTGACTGCTGGAATCTGGCTGTGGCGTGCTGCCAACAACGTCGCCCGGCGGCTTCCTGCGCGTGTTTCCGACACGCTACTGTTTCACCCGGCCACCGGCTTGGACATTCTTTGTCGAAAAGAACTCCCGGAGGGAGGCGACCCTGGTCGCAGATGGGAACACCTCATCCTGCCCTTCCACCTCGCCAGGTCTTCTCCTTCAGGTCTTGACACGGAGCGTGATTGCCAAGTACTTCCAGCAGGTGCTTCACTTACCCTCCCGCCACGCTCTGGAACATACATTAAATTCTGGTTTCAATGCGGGGCAGCGATGGCGACGCTTCTCTGAAACCCTGCATGATGCTTGTTTGTGGGGGGAGACATGATTAGTTGAGTTGTTCTCTGTGATCTTTCCTCCTCCTCCTCCTCCTCTAGCCAACTGTGAGGGCATGTTTTTGTGACTGAGGATGGGCCTTTTGTGAGGCTCCGAGGGAGAACTTACAGTATCGCTTGGTTGTTGGTTGCCTGGCTGGTGCTGATTCGCTGATCGTGTTGGCAATTGGAATCTTGTTGACATTGATAGTGAAGCTAAGGTAGCCTAAACCCTACGATATAGATAGGCTAGGCCCCAGTTCTATCCCCAAACTTTGAATTTTCTTGGCCAACATCAGAGGTTGCCAGCTCAGACACATAACGTCACAACGTGTCAGAAGAGTAGAGACTGAAGAGGCCCTTCGAACCGACCAAACCTACATGCACTTCGACGGGGTTTTTGTTTCCTGAAGGTGTTGCTATCTCAAGATCCATCAAGGAGAACCTGCAACAAATTAAACAGCCGAGTACTTCATGTTTTTCTCCAAACATCTTTGCTTTGAGGGGTTCTCATTTCTTGCATACAAACAATCCTAGGCCAAGATGATTTCTTGCCTTTGGTCTCCTTTTGTATCCCTTTGTCTCCTGTGGCTCTTCTGGATGCTGGGCTGTGATTCTTGTCTCCCTTAGTCTCTTTTGTCTTCCTTTGTTGTGTCTCCCTTTGTCTTCCATGGGCTGAGGCGGTTTGCTTTGTCTCATAGCTGTTCTGGATAGTGGGCTGAGATGATTCTGCTTTGTCTCCTTTTGTTGCCCTTTGTCTCCCATGGCTCGAAGCCGGCGGCAAAAAGTTTCAAGGTTCGCTGGCAAAAGAAATGTTAATCTGCCGCTGCTGTTTGGGGTTGATGCGGGTGTAATTGTTTATTGACTTCGAAGCCCAGCTTCGGTGTCTAATTGCCCGGCACATGTTGGTGAAGGAAAAAATTACACCACCGTAGACCCCAAACAGTTTGTGTTTTTCAAAATCGAAACTAGAGCTTGCGACGTCCAGAGCTGGGAGACAAAGGATTGCAAGGCAGAGGCGGCCACAGCAGCCCAGAGCTGGGAGACGAACGTAAAGGATTGCAAGGCAGAGACGGACACAGCAGTACAGAGCGGGCGGACACATCTTAAGAAAGAATTGAGAAGCCCTGACAGTAAACCTTTTGGGGAATTATTCTTCAAGTGCGAACATGATGCTGGTCATGCTGCTCAATCAGCAAGGAGCTGACCACGTGAGGACAAGAAATAGAAGCATGAGGAGCGAAGGATGTGACATGAAATTGATTTTTGGTGCCTGACGCATGCCCTCCGTCCCAACTGAACAGAGAGATCGCTGCCACGACGCCGAAATCACGAAAGCTAGCACCAGCTAGCTGGAGTTGCCCTTGCTTTAGCAAGTGAGGGGCTGGAATCCTCGAGATCGCCGCATCACGTGAAAACTTCATATGTAGGGCCCCCTCCCTCCCCCCGGTGGGTTCAACTCCCCCCTGGGACGCCTCTGGGACACCTCTCGCGCACCTCTTATGGCATCCGCTTTGGTTCAACTCCTCCGGGACACGGTGCAACAGATTCAACAAGCTCACAGGTTCGTAAACACATCGGATGCATTGAATAGTGTGGCAAAGTCCAGCCATGCTTCCTTAATTATCGGGGACTTCAATTCTAAGGTTGGCTGTGTCATTGCTGTTTGTGTGTCTTACATGTTCACAACGTTTTACTTCATGAGCATTTGCCTCAATCCGCTTGATGTCCCACCAGTCCGGATGCACCCCTGCTAGCTTTCGTCACCTACCCTCGGCCTCAAGTCCAATCCGGTCATTCATCCAACGCTTGCCCGAAAAGGAAAACAAAGCTGAGAGAGTTACACAGTGTGGCAGGAATGCACTCCCGGAGACAGTCACGCGGCAGAAAACAGCAGTGCAGGCACCAAACCTGAAAGACAAAAAGAAAGAAGTCGCATGGGAGACAAATGAATAGAAATGCTACATGGCCAGCGGAAAAGGGCGGCAGCACCAATGAATAGAAATGTTGCATCGCCAGCGGAAAAGGGCGGACGCCAAGAGTGACAGACCTGGGAGACTAATGGATGGCCGCAGAAAAGGGCGGACACAGCAGTGATGGTAGACAAATGAATAGAAATGCTGCATTGCCTGTGGAAAAGGGCGGACACCAGCAGTGACACACCTGGGAGACAAATGAATAGAAATGCTTCATGGCCAACGGACAAGGGCGGACACCACCAGTGACAGACCTGAAAGACAAATGAATAGAAATGCTGCATGGC